GTGTGTGTGTGTGTGTGTGTGTGTGTGTGTGTGTGTGTGTGTGTGTGTGTGTGTGTTCCACTCATGAGTTACAGCAGTGACACAGTAAACAAGCACAATTCATGTAAAACTTATGTTTATAATTGTGGAGCGTTCACTGGTTTGTAGAAAGCACACTGATATGATTAACATTTTATCTCTTCAGTGGGAACAAAATACCTTTTTATTTGTTTGTTTGTGGGTAAACATGGTCGAGCTTTACTGCCGCCTTTTGCAACCCTGAATATTTACTTTCCAGCAGAACTGTTTGATGATAGAAGGTGTGAAAGGATCATTAGTCTGAATAAAGTGAAACAAGCACAGAGGTCTGAACTTCAGTGTTAGTTAAAGTTTAGGGAAGCCTGCCACACAGGCTGGAACAGTTTTAAATATCAGGCTGCAAACATGTTTGTTTCTTCTTGGTTGGACAGCGTGAGACCGTTTTTCAATCTTCTTTTGTGTGTGTGTGTGTGTGCAAAATGTTGAACTCCTCTTACTTTAACATTTGTGTCACAGACTGTGATATATTAAGAAAGGTTGGCTGTACGTGGCTGCAACGTGTTTCTTTTTTATAACATGACACGTTGTTACCACTTGTCTGGTGTAACTCAGTTTTGTTGCTTGATAGTGATTTTTTTCATTCACATTCACAGAATTCATTTTGTCACTTATGCCAGGGAAGACGCAGGCAGAGGTTTTGTTTTGTACATTTTTTTTGTGGTATCTTTAGAATTGTTTGCACAGACAGGATTTCCTTCCAGTATCAGCATTACTCATATTTATTTTGTATTAAACTGCATATGTTGTTATTGTCAGAGCTTTTGCTAACTTACGAGAACACAAAGAACTTCAGAGATCAGTGAAATCTAAATAAATGTGCTAGGAGTAGGAGGTTGATAGGAAATCTCAAAATTGTATCAGGAAAAAATGAAAACTGATTCAGAAAATGACGAGCAGCGCTCTCAGGCTGTTGTGCAGGGCTGTGCTCTGATGTTGAAGATAAAGTGACGCCACACAAGAGACTGAAAATGGACTGATTACATGAAGTAGATGAATAATCTGTAGTAAATACCGACTCGTTGTATTCTTATCTCGCATGTATATGCAGAGGTGGTCATTATCTGCATTATCTTTAAAGTTGGGACTCTAATCTGTTCCTCCGGCCGTCATCCCTGGTTTAAATGACAGAACGTGTGTGTGTGTGTGTGTTTCCTTGTTAACTTTTTCACTGCACTCGACTGCTCTTTCCACCAACACTGAGCCACTTTGTTACCACCTTCACGACTCACCAGTTTTAACCGAACGTTAAGTTTCATCTTTCACGCCATCAGAAAAACCCGATCACTGAGCATCGCCCGTCATTAAGCTGCCATCCTGAACCCTCGTCAGACTGTGGTCTCCCGGTGTTTAAACTGTGTTTTGTGTGGTCGATGTAAAACAAAAACATAACAGCTCACAGTTCTCCAAAAAAAAAAAGAAAAAGGAAAATGTTACTGAGTTTTGTGGATTATAGCTGTGCAACGAGGAACAAGCAGTCGCTTGTGAAACAAAAATAAAACATTTGTGCTGTTTGAACATTTGCTGTCTGATTTGTGTGTGCGTATATTGTGTTAATGTCTTGGGACTTTTTTAGGGCGGAGGCTTTTATTTTAAATTTGTTGTGCATTTGTAGATAAAAACAACACAAACTAACACAAATAATTTTATTTCCAGTGATAAAAATAGTTGACTAATATAGAAGACAATCTGCATGTCTAATAATGGAAACTTCATAGTATCCAACACCGATGGCTTTCATAAGAAGTTCTCTTTTAGGTCACATTCAACAAAATGTAGTTTTTCCTATAAATTAACATAGAAACACATTAATTACAGATATTCCAGAGACTTATTTTAAAGTAAATTAAAGTTGGATTAAAAGGAGAAAACGGGACTTTCTTGCTCATCAAACCTAGAGGTAGGTGGTGTGTAAAGCACACCACCTACCTCTAGGGGGCAGTGTGCCATCACACTCCTGAGCCTACAGCACTCTCTCCAGCCTACATTAAGATAATAAGACGTCAAACACAACATTTCTAAACAGAATAAACAAGAACACAAAACTTGTGAGGAGGGAAATCTTTCAAACTCAATGTTGGGCCTCGCTTCTGATTCACGGCTAAAATTTCAGTGTCGCTGGCTCAGCTGGTTGGTTAAGGTTGGGATAAAGTTTGTTACAGTACATTTATTGTTTTAATTTCTCACAAGGACTGACACGAGCTGTAGACCTTATTAGGACACTTCTGGAAGGTGAGGATCTGCTGGCCTATCTTTACTTGTACAAAAGATTTGAGAGGTGCTATTAGTACAATTGCTATTCACATTAGGGACCTCGTGAAGCCCTCTTGACCCTCTGCATTAATTATAACGCATCAGGACCAAAACAGGAGGAGATTGTTCGTTCAGAGTCTGTTATTTAACAGTGTTGTTACGTTGTATTAATCTGCAATTATTTAACTTTGTCTGTCCCAGCTGTCTCTGTTCAGGCCACTTTTACTTTCGTAGTTTATTATAAATAAAATAAAACTTCTTTGTGATGCGGTGCCAAAAGGAAAACCTGCAGCCTCCATAATCACCATTTAACGCTCAGTTTTTGACACACTGACAGTGAAGTGGCCCAGTTTTGGCGGTTTCCTCAGCCACGTCCCCAGACCACCTCCCTGCAGAGCGCTGCTGAACTGCTGCACCGCCCTCTGGTAGCACTGAGCAGACATCTTGGAAGCACAATACGTCCCTGTTGTGGGTTCTGCCCCGATTACAGGGTTGATTAGCTGAGAAAGAAAGGCACAAATAAACAGTTAATTTATTGCAATATAACTCTGGTTTTATTTACTTTTACAGTTTGACAGTCCAGTCAGTGTGCTGCACTTCTTAAATTATATTTTCAGGTAAAAATATTTCTCTGCCTCTTCAAAGTGACACCTGTCTAGTGGAAATGGACAGGTGTCACTTTGAGATGACGCAGGAAACTCTAAGGTGGCACTAATGACATTAACGATGGCTCCAGGAGAGGTGGAGATTCAGCAGCTGGGACCTGGGAGTGACATGCCTGGATGGGCATTAATGTTGTTCGTCATACCCAGCAGAGTGTGACAAGTCAGGACGTCAGAAAAGTGTTCAAACTGAAAATGTAAATGAATAAAAGACGGTTTTCAAATCCGTCTGCTGAAGGAGGAAAGTTCCTACAGTCTGACAGCCAATTATGGTCCAGTGTGAAACTTGGGTCCTGCTCACACCTGGTATTAACGGGTAAGTATGGAGTCTGGAGAGCCATGAAGGGATGTCTCATTCGCGTTTGTTTGCCTGGAGCGCCAAGGAATGGACCCAGTTTGTAACTTCCAGCTTCCATTCTGGAAGTGCACTGCTGCCTCCCACCAGTGAAGATCTACAACCCATCTAGTCTTTGCTAGCAGAACTGATTCCATCTCCAGTCTTCAACTCCTGAAAGCAAACAGACGCTGAGGAGCGTTAAAAACCCTCCACATTCATTCAACACCTTCAACAAGTCTTAGCTCCCTTTAGGGATCTCCACAGCAGATCATCTGAGTCTAGCACACACCATCCCTCTGTACGTCCTACATCCATGAAGCTCCTCTCTGGTCTTCCTCCTTTCCTCCTGCCTGGCAGCTCCATCTTTAACATCCTCTGTCAAATATACCCCATCCTCCTCGGCACTTTGTCTCCACACAGCTTCGCCTGAACTGTACTCTCGATGTACTCGCTCCTGATGCTGTCACTCCCAATGAAAATCTGAGCACCTCCACCTCAGCCCCCTGTCTTTTTGTCAGCGCCACCATCTCCACGTTGTAAACCTTCCCTTCCACTCCTCCTGCTATCTTTCTGTCACCCCTGACACTCCACCCCTTAGTGCCAGGGCTAAATGCTTGATCCCAAGTACTAAAGTAGTCAGTCGTTTCTTAAAAACTACATCCTTGCTATGACCTCAGACATAAACGAAGCCAAAAAACTAAATACCAGTGATGCTCGGAGGATTAGTGAAGTTGGGCTGATCTGCTACAAGAGATTTCATTAGGCTTAAATAAGCACATTGTCTGTATTCCTTCAGTGGGACAAATAGCTTCAGAACAGTGAAAGATTTGATATTGTGTGATACCGTCACAGTGCTATGAGCGATCTTTCCTGATTTTCAACATTGCTGGAGGCTGAAACAACCTCAGCATCTGGCCGTGTGCTTCGGAGCCACCCTGCAGTTTTTGTAAATTGCACTGCAGCCATTTTTGATGCAGGGCGGCGATTGTTGCACTTGGAGACACTTTTAATGTTCTAATACATCTATGAGCTGATTAATTTAGAGCCTTCGCTCGAGATCTGTGTTGATGCAGCTGGAGTGCGAGTGATCGAGTTTCCCTTCAAACCAATGATAATAAAGCATTATAGAGAGTTATGTTTGTTTGTTGTCTGGTCTCCCAGCACGTCCACACCATCACACATCCATAACAAACTCTGAGGTTATTTCTCCTCATTTTAATTCTTTAAACTGAGGAGAAAAGTGTGGGTTTTCTCTCTCCTGGGCTGTGGCTTTGTCTTTTCTTGCAGCGATTTCAGACGCTTCTTTAAATAATCACGACTCTGGCTGCCGTCATCAAACTTTAAACTGAAGCCATTTGGTTCAACACAGTGCATTCTGCATACATATTTTAATTTCACAGAGGAAATTAGACCTCTCTTTCAACGACATCATTATAATGTAGATGGCTTTGGTCTGAGGCAGAGCTCAGATGATTTCAGCTTAAGAAATTCATGCTTCTGTGACTTGTGCTTTCATTTACCAGCATGCTTTTAGTATTTATAATCATTTCATGTCATGTGATGATGTGAATAAGTCAGTGCTGCTTCAATAATCATTTACAGACAGTTTTTAAAGAAGGGCATCTGCAGCACATTGTAGCTCCCCCTATTTCACTTATATAAAAAAGCATTTTAACCTGCGTTATTTTGAATGGTCAGCAGGGGACTGTATAGAAGAAATACCTCAGAGTTTATGGTCCCAGTCTTTAGTTTTAAGTTTAACAGAATAAAACAGCACCCCTAAAGCATGCTGAGCTTTATCATCCATCTGAATTCTAATAATTAGCACAATTTACAAAATGAGCATCATATTACATTAAATAAGACCTGGAGCTACCATTTAATACCACAATCCCATCATGAACATGTTTACTGAATACACAAGTCAAGTGTGAAGTGGGTAATTTTCCCACAGACCTCTATAGAATAAGAACCAGAGGTGCCACCCCCTGCTGGTCATTAGAAGAAATGCAGGTTTATAGATCCATGTGATCAAACCCTAATTCTTCATGAGCGCTGAGCTCGTCTGACCGACTGGGGTGTCTCCTCGTTTGAAGCTGTGTAACATTTCACTGGTTCAGCTCTGCGATTGTCTCACCTGCTGCTGCAGCCTCAGCCAGCGGGCAAACAGCGAGCGCCTGCAGAGCCGCGATGGCGTCCCTGAGTCCTTCCTCCTCCCTGTGGAGGTGCTGATTTCCTCCCAGCCTCCATCACCGCAGCTCCAGTTCACGCTGACGTTGGGAGGCTTCCCTGCTGGCCGGGCGTCCCTGCTGCTCAAACCTGCGTGGCAAACATGGAAACACATACCTGTAGAAGTTTCCTCCTGAAAACACTGATTTTTTGTAAATTTGATGCACCCACTGTCCAACCTGGACCTAATAATCTCGCTTCCAATATGATTATGCATATCATACAAACAAAGCTTCTGCTCAACTGGATTTTCTTTTGTTGCTGGAATCGCAAATATCTTGATTTGCATATTTAATTTTAATCTGCTCCCTCTGATTGAGGTGCACAGAGTTTATTTCAGGATCATTTCAGGCTGTGTTCCTCTTGATTGTTGAGTAGACAGGCTGGCTCTTACATTTCTGACAACAGGCTTCAGACATCTCTAAAACATCAGGCCAAGACTTGTTTGTTACATAAGTACAATATAAAATGTTACATTTAATGGCATCTGGTCAAATGAAATTTACTCCATACGTTCAAATTTTGGATAAGTGGAAGTAAATGGATGGATGGATGCTACACGTTCAGTTTAAACCAAGCACAATTTCCCTAAAGATTTCAAATTCATATTTCAAATATTATGATGTCAGCAGAGGTGAAATCCCCAGTATGATCATCTCAGACATGAACCTGTGGTTCCCATTAAACATCAGACTGGACTGAAGCGCAGACAAATAAGGATTATTTTGACCTGTGAATCATGCCAAGCTACCCTAGAATCAAAAAATGAAAATACTGAAGAGTGAAGGACATCACAAGACCCTGTTAACCTGTGTTTTTCTTAATATGACAACCTTAGAGCTTTGATTGGTGATGGCATTTCAGATTTTATTGCTCACGGTAACTACTCGGCTTTTGCTTTTGTACTTTTCGTAGCATATTTAGTGCTATTAAGAACCCACTTCGGCACAACTTCAGGACCTCCCCTAAGTGTCACAAGAACTGAGCTGTGGTTTCTGGCTCATTCATCATCATCATCATTTAAACTTACAGCCGAGCAGCAGCTGCTGTCGTCTGTAGGGGAAGGGGAGGTGTTTGATGGGCGCGAGGCGGCGTGCCATAGCTCTACCCAGGTGACCCGTGTGGCTGAGCGTGCCCACTGTTAGGCTCTGGAGGTAAACCGGCTCCACCAGGTGAGACAGGAGAGCCCCTTGGAGGCCCACGACGCTCCACCTGCAGAGGTAACCACACCACTGTGTTGGTGACACAAGTGAAAGCACAGCAGTAAAGAAACACAATGAATAAACTCCACTGAGCCTTTAATATAACTCACTTTGCCAGTTTGTCTGTACATGACATGGTAACGAGAGGTTTACTCCGCGATAAGCCATCCCATTTCTGATTGGCTCTCCGTGCCGTGATGGGCAGCGTCCCCTCACCTCCCTTTACCTTCACCCTGAGGTGGCAGCGAAATCTCCTGCTGGGATCTGACACAAGAAGAAAGTATTTTACAGAAGCATCATCTCTGCTAAAGAAAAACATTTACAATCCTTAGTTTCACATCACGCAGTTTTTACTTCTTGTGTCATGAGCTTGTCCCACATGCAGGACACAAAGGCAGGGAGGATTAAAGGAGGGTGAGCTGTTTATTGTGGGCTGGAGGCTGGTTGCACAAAGGTGGAACATTAAGAACAAAATAGGAAAACAAAAACCTGGAAAACACACTAGTGCTAAACCATGGGGGCAGGGAAAGACCAGGGCAGGGAGAACTGAGAAAGGACAAGGGGAGACAGGGACAGCAGAGTGGAGAGAGCTGGGAAAACAACACACAGCTGAACTGAATCAGAGAAGATGAGACACAGGAAGCAAAACTAAACCGGGAAAGCACCGACACAAGAATTTAATGTAAGAGACTTGGCACAAAAGAAAAGCAACTAGCAATCAGGATCAGAACTAAGTATGCTAAATAGGACAAAATACTCAGCAATATAAGTGCGAAGAAAATCAAGCATCTCAAAGGAAATTAGAAAAACAAAACTTGGAAATGCTGGGTTAGCGGATTAGGACCATAACATCCTGTTTCCCTCTGTTTGATTGTGCGCCCTGCTCGCACTGCTTCCACCTTTCTCGTTTGATCTTTGCTGTTTGTTCCCACCTGTTAACACGATCTGTTTGTGTACCTGGGCTCGTTCAGCTGTCATTTCAGCCTGCAGTTCTGGTTCATATGGCATTTTATTCCTAATTATCCACTCCCTGTATTTTCCCTGTGCTGTTGTTTTTCAGCCTTGATCTTTTATGCTTGAGACTTTTGAAGTGTTTTTAGTTTTCTTCTAGTTTTTGTTCATCATTCCTGTCTCCTGAAGCCTGGATCTGGATGCTTTAGATCTGATAACGCAACAGAATCAGCATCCAGATGATTTTCATGTTTTTCCACTTTTTAAATTGATTTAATGGACCTTTAATGGGCTCCTGTAGGATCAAAACGATAATAGAAATCTTAAGTAAGTAAAATTTTATTTGTATAGCACCTTTCAAGACAGAAATCACAAAGTGCTTCACAGAAAAACTAAAACAGAAAAAAGCAAGTTTAAAAAGATGGTTTTTAGCTGTTTTTTAAATGAAACCAATGAGTCCACAGATCTCAGGCTTAAAGGAAGGGAGTTCCAGAGTCCGGGGGCCACAGCTACAAACGCTCTATCGCCTTTTGAGTTCAGCCTTGTATGTTGGACCACCAGGAAGCCCTGATCACATGACCTCAGGGACCTGCTGGGGATGTACTGATGTAAAAGATCTCTGACATAGGTTGGTGCAGGTCCATGCAGAGCCCTGAATGTCAAAGTCAAAATCTTGAAGTGGATTCTGAATTTTATGGGGAGCCAGTGCAACTGGATCAGCAGAGGTGTAACGTGGGAGTATTTAGAAGATTTGGTCAGAAGCTTTGCAAATGATGCACAGAGGCTTTACTTAAACAATCTAAGTGTGTTCCTCTCACATGCAGCTGTGGTCTCGTAGGGGCAGTTGAGTCGAGCGTCTCCACACGGCGACGAGCTGACGTACATGTGGAAGTGGACGCCCTCCCGCAGCCGGAAGCCATCACCGCAGCTTTTATTTGGTATAAAGATCGACTGATCCTCGCTGTCCACTGGCTTGCTTCAGAGAGGAAACGATCAGGCAGGAAAAACAACAAAACAAAAACACTATTTTACAACAAGGAGCAAAAAGGACGAAAACAATTTCATCTTTCTTTTGTGAAATAACACAGCAGCACACATAAATAATGAAAAAACCTAAAAATGTACATTTCTAATGGCAAAATACAGCTAGTAACTTACACAAAATATTATTTTTTAACATTTCTAATGCAAATGAACACGAATGTAACACAAAAAGAGGCTAAACTAGGTTTAATAGCAAATATCACCCAAAACTGAACAAAATACATTTTTAAAAATGACCAGTAATCAGAGGGCCTGTGTATTTTGACCTCAAGCCCACATCGAAGACACAGATGTGGGCAGAGACACAGTAGTTTAATTCACCAGGTGATTAACCCTCGTCCTATAAACTAAAGCCTTAGTTCAGCACTAGGTTTAATCCAGGTCTTAGAAAACTGTGCAAAAAGACAAAATCCACATAAAACTGGACACAATGTTAAGCCTCATCTATCAAAAACATGAACATTTTATTTGAAAATGAATAAAAAAATACTTAATAAGAAAATCTATCCAAAGTTTTCAGAGTAGGTGTCATTTCCACTTCAGATCTCTCAGCCAACCCTCCAACGCTGATATTTGACCAACCACTTTAAGGCCACAAAGAAAATGAGAGACTGCTAATCATACCAGAGGAGCAGCTCCAGCTGACTGTACAGGAATCGAACCAGCGCCCGTCGACTCACGACTTCAGCGTGGCAGTCGGTGAGCGTACAGCCACAGTCGCTCACACCACCCAAGTCCAAGCACTTCGTCCCTGTGGCCAGAGACACAACCTGTGCTGATCGAAGATCGAGTCCTGGAGGGAGAGAAATGAAGCATGTGGGAATTGACAGGCAGGATGATTGTGATTGGCTCTAATGGAAGGAGACTTCTGGCATGCTGAAAACGGGCCATCTTATTTCACTCAGGGAACAGGAAAACGAGGCATTTCCTCTTTTCCTCCCCTCCGCCTCTGTGTCGGGTCATAACCGGAGCGTTAACAGGCTGAGACGGGCTAATGAAAAGTGTATGACTGAACAATCACTCCGTCGTCTCCAAGAGGGGCTGTTGTGCTTCTATCCGACCTCATCAAACATTCACAGGGCTGTCTCGCCTCTGATCCGGGGCGACTCTTTGATTGCTTTAAACGATGAGCCCAGACAAGTGGCAAAACATCCTGTTAGAAGATCGGACGCTGCTGCGTCTGCGTCAAATTTCAGACGACAAAAAGCCGAACGAACGATAACATGAAGCGAGCCAGAGAACAGAACCAGGACTGACCGATAACTGTGTCACTATGATGCAGGATTTCTGTGAAATAAAGAGCAATATTTTAAACTCACTGGGTGTTTGCCATGTCAGATCACAGCTCCTAAGGTCATAGATGTGAACCTCCTATAGTCTCGGCATTAACAATCCCACCCTGTCTCAGATATTTGCACCAGACTGTCGCTGATCAGCATCAGCAAAGCAACATAACCTACACACACACCCCTCTCACTTAATTCTACACCACTTTGTATGAAGTCAATCAGAAATAAAATGTTTACAAGGGTAAAGGTGAAATGGCATCAGACGGGGCTTAAAAGCAAGAGATAGAGAAAATTAAAAAGTGGAAGAGAAGTAAAATAAAATCAGATATTATAATAATTAACGATCTTTAATAATTAAGGAGGAGATGTGAAGCAGTTATAAAGAACAATTTAGGAATAACTCTGGACTTGTAATTTGTTCTTTTAAATTTAGAGAGACTAATTTCAGGCTGGAGGATGGAGGAGACGACGAGGCATAAATTAGAGAAAAGAGCAAAGCCCAAAGTGCTTTTTTGTGACTTAAGTGGGAGTGTGTAAAGTACGAATGTAGATGATGTATGACTCCTTCAGATAATGAAAAACAAAGCCTACACAGGATGCCCTATGGGTGCATGCCTCTTTTCTTTTAAAAGATACCTGATGAAGAAAGCACGCTAGTGTGATGAATGACAACAAAGATTACATGATGCTGCTGTTCACTGGGCTAAATACCAAAGTCCAATGAATTGCTTTACAAAAACATTTTGTACTGATAACAGATCGGCATGTAAGGAATGATATGTCATCACGTTACTTTGGACCTCTGACCTCTTCTTCATGGTCGAATTCGGTCATACTTTTTGACCATCATACCGCCAGCACTCACCTCTGGTCATCACGATCCCTGCCAGCACCTTGTGTCGGGCGTGCGAGGTAGAGGAACAGCTGTCTGCGAGCGCTGTGTATTTCTCTCTCACCAAGTGGAAGATTGACTCTGCAAAGAACTACAGAAGAAGAAAACTGAGGATACAAACTGAAAGTGTGTTTTTGTTGAAGATCACGAGATGCTTCATTATTCAGAGGATACTGTTGCCTGTTAGTCTTTGTTTTAAGCTTTAGGAATGTAACCATGTAATACACTGTTACAACGGAAGCACTAAAACCCATTTTTTTTTAATCTTTTAGTGACATAAAGTGGTCTACCTAGCTTGTCTTTCCTCTTTATCGCTGGCTATTGGCCAGATTGTGACAACTCGCTATGACTAACTGTAGCACAAAGCAAATAAATGTGTTTGTTCAGGCAGCTGTTCTCCACATCTGTGCAAACACAGTGAAACTGTCCTCATCCCAGCATGACAAGAAAGGATACACCAGCCAGAGAGCACACACAGCAATGGATAACTCTGCATGCTGTGATTCATTATGTCAATGAACAGCTACAGTAAAACACTCAAGGGAAAACTCTGCCCTCTAGTGGCGAAAGTTTTAGTTTAGTTTTGCTTGTAAATACAAAAAGTACCTTTAGCTGATGAAGTGTTGCACAGATGATCAAATAACTATGGGACTGTTAAAACTATATTTTTTATTTTATATATAATGAATAAATGATTTGTGATTCATACATTTTTGCAGTATTTTTTACCATTTTTGTTGATAAAACTTGTTCTATTCATCAAATACCCACAGATGTTAACAGTTTTTAATGCTCCTTCACTTTGTCTGAAAAGTTGGCTGGGTAAACTTGCGTTAATGCCATATTCCCCAACACTACGAGCGCATGAGCTCGTCTGAAAATCCGACAGTTTGTCAGCGATGGCCGAGAGTTTTCTATCAATTAACTCCCCCAGTTTTCGAAGGAAGAGGTGTCACAATCCCAAAATATCTCTTATTGTTTGATATTTCAGGCCTGTCACTCTTTTGAGAGGCACCTGGAGGTTACAGTAAGGTAAAGGAACAGCATCAAAACAACAGGAGGTTTAAACTAAACAGCAGCCCTGCTCAATGTCCTTCTATTTACCGTCTGCTGAATATTTGCAGGATAAGAGACTACCCAGCACATCAGTCTGTTCCCTCAGTTTGGGGACAGCAGATTAAATATTTGACTGTCTGAATTGAGCCTTGTAGTAACTGCTAATAATTCATATTATGGTAAATTCAGATGTGATTGGAGGTAAACTATACTTCCACTGACTGTCTGGACTTTAAAATATTTATTCTAGTCTGTTGTGGGAAGATTGGAATGTTGGATGTTACCAAAGGTGGAGTTTTTAGAAATATCACTAGGAAATAGTTTGTTACTTACACTCAGAATAATATTTTTTCTGTTGCAAGATTTACATTTAAAGATCCGATTTGTGTACTTTATTATGGAATTTATCAGAATGAGAATACTTTATTCATCCCACAGTAAGAGTAGTAAATAACCAGTTAGCTAAAAAAAACCAAAAAACCAAACTTGTGTAAATTTCTCTGCTTTTTCAAAACAAACAAAAAAATCTATATTTATTGGATCAGATCTGGCTGAAGCTCACGATGACGTTCAGAGCTCAGAGAATAAACCTTTAAATAAAATCTTTTAATGGACAATCAAGCAACAATAAACTGAAAGAAAACGGCAGTCTGATAAAGTCAAGTGAAAGCTCTGCTGATAATGACCCACACTCCTCAGATCAGTCAGAGCAACGATAAGAGGATGAACTGAGCTGCTGAATCAAAGCCAGTGGATCATGCTAAGCTATGCTATTAGAAACTAAGGACAGAAATAGGGACCTGGAAATGAGAAGAACAGGCCCCCTTTAAAAAGAAAGTGTCACACTTTAATGTCTTTTTTATATTTCTAACCACATAAACTTCCAGTAATGCTAACCCGGCATGTTCTCAACGACCACCTTTTAAAGGTTCAAACTATTCTGTGGTCCGAGCGAGCTTATTTTGAGTGAAACTCTCAAGCTCAACATTTTCTGGATGACAGCGGCACAAGGTCGTGTGTAATGAGTGTGTTAAACAATTATCTGTTGGATTATTATGCTCTTCACACCGCCTTCCTGCTCCACCTCTATCTCCTTGCTCCACTGCCGCTCCTCCTTCATCCCTAATGTGCTGTAATAATGTTCATTAATGCGTCACGCCGTCTGACAGACAGCTCATATTGAAGCGAAGGAGGGAGGGCTGATGCTAAATGATGGGAAATGAAAATTCCACACAAAGAGGAGGAGGAGGAGGGAGGATTTGGCAAATTGTTCACTTATTGGTGTATCAGCATACAGCCATGTAAAAGTGCTTTTTGTTCAAAATCAAAGCATCTGAATCCCCTTTTTCACCCAAAATGTCGCCATTGCACCCACCCGTCAGTGGATCCTCTCATCAAACCTCCCTCAGGCTTCAATGAAGTACGTACATGTCTGTCTTTCTCCATTATCATTTGCATATTTCAACAACTGTGTAAAAGGGTTTATGCCCAGTCACTCCCTTCATCTCCCCGGAGTCGATCCGAGGAGACGAGTCGCCTTGTATTCATAAAACACGGCAGCACGACAGTAAAAGACGTCGGGGACAATTCTCCGCGGCTCTGAGACATAATGAAGCTGTTTAGATGCTGCAGAGGAGTGTGCAGGACACCATCCAGCTCTCAGGCCTCAGGACATGATGGCCATGCTGATGTGCAGCACACTCCATTTGGTAGCATACGGTGCACCTCACACCCATTTATCCAGACTGCTTCGAACAATGGCAAATGCTAAAGAGATGAGGGAGAAATTCAGTGTCACGACTTGAAGCTGACAGTTTCAAAGTGAGGACCCACAGGATGTAAGAGGAGAACGATGTTGCAGTTTGTTAACGTTTAGTCACGTCAATATAAAAATGGTGGGCACAGAACAAACATCTGGGGGACAGCTTTGTTGTCTCTGACCATCTTCTAACTCCGTCTTTGATGTGATGTTTTCCTTTTTCATGTCATGTGTGTTTCTGTCACTGTGGTTTTTCTCATTCAGGATCTTAGTTTAGAAGTTATGTTTAGTGATTTTAACAGGACTTTATGTTTTAAGGATTCGGGTTTTGTGCCTTGCTGGTTTGTTGGTATTTGGTTTCATGTGTTTTGGTTTTTCTTCCCACCCCAGTCGTCTCTTGTTGTCTTCATCCTCATGATTACATGGTTAGTCATTTGTCTCTTGTGCTTTTCCGTTGGGTTGACTTCCTTTGTTACTGTCTTAATTACTTTCAGCTGTGCCTTGTTACCCTGGTGTTTCCACTTCCCTCGTGTTTTCTCTTGCTTGTTGTAATGGGGAAAGTGAAACGTGTCACATCTTGGTACTGTTGTGAAACAAAGACACAAACAAGTGTTGCACAACTGTAAAAAAAAACCAGATCAATACTGGTTTTATGTTATTATGATCAGGGTTGGAGAAATCTGCATACAGAGACGTAAGAACAGAGAAATTGCTGTTTATTGTACATGTGTTTTGTTTACAGTCCCCCTTTTTCCGCCCTCATTATCTGATTGGATTGACTCTCCTTTTGGATTCCCTAGAGGAGCTGCAGTTTTGGGCACATCTGCATTGGCTTCATTTTTCAGCTTTGGATGCTGCATCTTTATTTGCTCCCAGTTTTTGTCAGTTTATCTCTTTACCTTCAAAATCCTGTGTTTTCTTTAAAAAATAATAATTTCAGTTACTATTCAGTTATTATTTTCATGCCAGTCTGCTTCAGTTTTTATCTGCATTTGTGTCTAATCAACAAAGATCACCGGAAAGGTGAGAAAAAGGCAGATTTAGAGAGTGTGATGTCTTTGTATTTTCAGCATTTTACATTATTTTATTATTCGGAATGACAGGTGATATAAAGGTAAGGGCTAGGGCGGCCTTAGCCAATGCCACATGGTGGGAAAAGAGATGCGACCAATGCGTTTGCAACAACACCTGAACATCTATTGCCTTTAACACTGAATGATATCAGATATCATCATGGGCACATATGAGGTGCTGTTTGTATGTATGGGATATGTAATATTATATAAAAACTCCAATGAGAAGACTACATAACAGGTTATGAGCAGTCATGCAGTCATGCATGGGACAGAAAGATGTAAATTCATGTATATTGTGATAGCCACAGTGCTGATGTTTGCCTATTGGAGTCTTTTTTTTTAACTTTTACCTGGTCATTTTGCATCTCTTTGCATTTTTATTGCTGTTTAAATGGTAAATGGTAAATGGCCTGTATTTGTATAGCACTTTACTAGTCCCTAAGGACCCCAAAGCACTTTACACATCCAGTCATCCACCCATTCACACACTGGTGATGGTAAGCTACATTGTAGCCACAGCCACCCACTGATTGATGACTGACTGACTTTTAGCTGGGGCTCGGGTCCACGTGCTCCCCGATCCTTTTTGGGTCTGCTCAGGTAGGTGACTCGAAGCTCAATACAGTTTTTCATCCATGTAAGCAGGACATGTTTTCGAAAATCAACTCATTAAAATTTGTTTATTTACATATTACAGATGACCTGAGTGAAACTATTCCCTCACTTCTTTCCATATACAACTCCTTTTTTATTCCTACACTTATAAAAGGAGAGTAGAGGTAAAATACTCACCTGAGGTAGCTGATTTTTGGCCCTGCTGTCCTGCAGGCTCATGAAGGTCCTCTCTGGTCCCAGACTTATGTTGTAAAGAGACTGTAGGGCAGTTGCTGCTGCTTTGGCCTTGGCCAGTCTTTTACTGGGGGCACACCCTTCAAACACCCGCCCCTCCAACCTGACCACCATAACAAAAGTCTTCATCAGCCTGCCAGGAACTCTCTCAGTCAGGCACATGTACCTGAGCCCCGGTCGCAGCTCATTGAGCAGTGCTACTGGACTGAGGTCCTCTAACAGTGAGGTGGTGACTGCTCGTCTTTTTGGATTTGTAGAGGACACCAAGTCCAGTGTTAGACGAACAAGTCTTCTGTGGTTGTAAATGCTGGAGAAGACCTCCTTTTTTGCTGCGTTGCAGTGGAGTAGATCACAGTTCCGAAGCACCGACGGCTCAAACTCTTTGAAAAATCCGTTGGGAATATCCACTTTATCTGCTGTGAAGTCCACAGGTGTGCTGGTGAAGTTCCCCATGGTGGCATGAGCCTGGGAGGCGTTTGGGAACTGAATGAATGACTGGAGAGCCTGCTCTGCAGCCCTCATCTTGGCCTGTTTTTTAGTTGGTCCTCGGCCCTCGAAGTGGAAGCCGTTTACCTCCACGGCTACAGAAAACACCGGTGCGTGCAGCGGGCCAGTCTTTGATGTGATATCATACTGCAGGCCTGGTCGTAGCTCATTCAGGTGCACCAGTGCGTTCTTCTGAGTCACACCCCAAGCTGCTCTTTTACAGGTCGAGTGGCTTTGGTAGAGCAGCTGGTCTTTTCCGTCCACCAGCGGCTGCTTCCTCTTGAAAGCTCTTTGTCCATTTCTGGGGAAAGTTGTGCAAAAAGTTGATGGGTGATACTTTCTAAGGAGGACACGCTCCACCTGGCATTTGTCATCCTGATTCTCCTTCACCTCCAAACTGCTGGTACCTGTTTACGAGATCAAAGTGTTCGCAGTGAGAAATCCTGTCCTGCTTTATTGTACATGAAAATCATCAGCATTCTCGCACAGCCGCATGATTAAAACATTTTAACTGGACTCTAAAACTAAGCCAAGTAAACCCTATGATTCAAAAGCTCATAGGACCAACTTTTGAGGGAATAACTTGTTTTCTGAGACTTCATCAGTCTCTCACATCGATGTTGAGGCGTTTTGGTCAACTCTTCTTTAAAGCGTTGCATCAGTTCATTGAGGTTTTTGGACATCCATTAATGCACAGCTCTTTTAAGGTCCCGTGACAACCTTTCAGTCAGGTTGAGGACTTTGACTCGGCCATTGCAACACAATGATTCTTTTATTTTTCAGCTTGTATCCTGTGATTTGATTTCAGCCAAGCTTTAACTGTTAGAAAAATGGCTTCACATTTGACTGCAGAAGACTTCATGAGGAGTTCATGGTCGACCTGTGAGATCCTGTGGCTGAAAAACAAGCCCAAATCATCCCTCCTTCGCCACTTGTTGTTTGTGCTGATATAGTTTTTGTGGTTCATGCCAAATCCGGAACTCAAACATCTCCACTTTGGTTTCATCTGTCCATGGAAAGGACAGTTAATGCCAAATACGCTAATATTTACCAGGCGTAAGATTTTTTTTTAGCTACCTAGTTACCCTTTTAGTTTAGTTTGTTAGCATGCTAACCTTTCCAATAAAGTCTAAACAGAGACTAAATCTGAAGTGCACACATCCATTGTGTCTCCATGCACTTAAGTCATGGGTGTACTTAAACCATTCAGGTACATAAAGAGTTTGTGTCAGCAAATGATTGTTGTGCAATCATCTGTGTAAAGCCAGCGTTTGCACTTTACGTCTTCTGTCATGTTTATATTGTTATATTTCTGAAAGCTCACATTAAACATGCCCACAGTTTTTTTATTACTAAGCTTTTAATAAAGGCTTTACATTTTTTTAGAACAAAAAAAAGAAAGAAAAGAAAACAACAACAACAAAACAAGCAGTCGACTCAAAATCACAGCTTTTTCTACAAAGCCGTTCTGGCAGTGAAAACATAACATTGTATTCATGAATTGACAACACGTGTACAGATGTATGAGCACCCTAGGAGAGGCATACAGAAGTGTATATAGTGAGGAGGCACAAACAGAAAAAAGGAAACCATACTAATTTTGGACAAATTTCAACCACTTGTACCATCCTGTGGTATAAGTATTAGCTTGCAACCTTAACAAAAAGGTAAGTTTTTCCATTTTATGAATGTCCTCAACAACCCTCAACCAGTCCCCCAGAACAGGGGGTCAGTACAGAGCCACTTACGAGTAATTGCTTTTTTTGCAGCAGCAGTAAGAATCTTCAGGAGATATTTGTCATTGCTTGTTAATTCTTTGGGTAAGTCTCCTAAATAAAATGTTATGACTTGATTTAAAGCCTATAGTCTGTTCTATCTTTTATATAAAATCTTCCCAAAATGTAGAAAGTTTTCGACAAGACCAGAATATGTGGGTGTGGTTTGCAGCAATTTCCCCACAGCTCGTCCAGCAAAAGGAACTTCCACCTATTTGTTGTTTTGGCATCATGAAAAATCGTACCAACTAAATTCTTGCCAGTAGGCAGAGGATGAGGTTGAAGTGGCAGTCTCACACATATTGTCCCATTGGCCAAAGTTTTTAAATAATAAACCCGGCATACATACAGACGTCCCTGTGAGCTCAGGCTTCAGACTACACACTGAGATTCAGACATTATGTTACTCCTGGTTCTTCATGATGCCAACATGAGAGCATATATTTCTACAGGCATCTCTGGAAACACAGCTCTCAACTCTCTCCTATCTGCTGTTCAAATCTTGTGGTTATGAGGGGCAGCCAATCAACATAAAACCAGCTTAGACAGAAGATGAACTGAGGGGCCCAGCGAGAAAGTACAAATAATTATTAATTTGTATTGTTAATTCAAAGCTATTCTATTAGAGACGAAGGAAATGGAGATGTGGCAATGGGCATATTAGGTCCCTTTAAATTATTATAATTCATACTGACCGTAGTATATTTGTAGCACTCACAGTAATGGCTGCTGAGGCACAAAATTATTTTTTTTGGCAGGAAAAGAGTCACTGGGATTCCTGTGACTGTAGGTAATGGTTGCACTGGCCTACTTTGGATGAGCATTTGTGCTAAAAAGTCAGGGCAACAGAATGATTCGTCCATCCAACAAAGTCTGCAAACATTTTAATATCAGAACATTTCATAAAGAGAAATTTGGAACAATGCATTTGTATAACTGACCGACAGGCTTATGCTGCAGTCCATGAAGCCAGCATGCTGCTAACATGGCTGAGAGTGTAATGTAGGCTGATACAACATCTGTGTTTGTAAAATAGCCACATAAACTGTCTGCAGTTCAAATGTTAGATATGTACCACATTGAAATAATGGATGTAGAGCAAGTTGTGTGCAGTAAGAGGAGGGACGGCATTTACTTGAACTGTCTGCATCCTCAGCTGATGATGCTTCAGTATCCCAGTGTTTTATGGGGCTTATGAAGGTTGACGGCGTGCTGCTGCATCCTGAAAAACACAATGAAAAAGACTTGAGGTCATTTTCATCTTATATAAATTTTCATCTAAATGGAAATATACAGTGTGTCCTCTGACATTTTGTGTTTGTGAAGCGAGTCAGTGTTGTGATTCTGAATGATTCTGATGCTTAGTTTTATATTTGGCCTGAACTGCAGAAGAAATTAAATGGACTGAGGTAAACACATAGACGGTGATAGTGAAAATCTGCTGCAGGAAGCCATGAACACCATTAGAGTTCCCACTGAATGAAAACAAACAGAAAGGTGGCTCAGAGCCAGCCGGGGTAATTGAAAGGTGTCTGTGATAAGGACGGAGGCTTTCACACAAGAAGCATCATGGGCTTTAAACTAAATGAACAGCTTTGTATTATTAACCCAGTCACAGAGATTTTAAACTGAGCACAAAATCTTTTCCAAAGGCATTGGCGAGTGGCTCAAAGTGTGATCGACTGACAGGCTGCCCACGTGTGTCCAGGTTTTACCCAGCCTCTACCCTACGACAGTTTTCCAAATTAATTATATTAATACGTAAAAACGAATAAGATTACGGCAAGCATATTCACCCACATCCTTTCTTACTTATAAGGGTATATTGAAAGTAACATTTCCTGGAAATCACTTACTTTTTTCAAGATGATTTGAAAATAAAGAAACTAGTAAGAAAAAGGTGATAAAAAAATTACGGTGGCCCTTAGAGGACAAATGGACTGCAACTTAAGAAAACGCCAACAATAAGAAAAATCACACAAAACACAACGGAAATAGGAAAAAACACAAGGGAAGTGTTTCTGGGAAGACAATAACCCGACGGACCAGTTGCAGGCACCCATACATGGTAGGCGTGTTTTATCATGATTCATATAATACTGATGACAGATTTTTAGGCAAATAGTTAGGCTAAAACACTTACTGCTCCTCTTTTGTTTCCTCACAAAACTGATAGATCCTAGCTGTCTCCCAGTGCAAATCTTAGCATATTTTGGTTCCTGCAACTGGTCCGTCGAGTTATTGTCTCCCCAGAAACACTTTCCTAGTGCTTTTGAAAATCTGTTTTTTCCTATTTCCGTTGTCGTTTTTCCTATTTCTGTTTTCTTTTTTCCTATTTCCGTTGTGTTTTGTGTGCTTTTGCAGCGTTTTTCTTATTGCTGGTGTTTTCTTAAGTTGCAGTCCGTTTGGCCTCTCAGGGCCACCGTAAAAAATCTTTTAAAGTGATTGAATATGAGAAAACTGTAATTTACTTGAGTAAGACTTACCAAACTTTACAGACTTTTCTAATCCTTATCACACAGAGGCGACTTTAATGCTGCTAGTGTAGCACTGCAGTCATAGAAGCAGCCACACTATTCTAAACTCTTGCACCTTAAAGATATATGGTTGGTTACAATTAAATAAAGAAACAAATAAGAGAAAACTTAGAACATGTCTCCTGCACTACACTGCTCACAAAAAATGAAGGGAACACTTGACCATCGCAGTATAACACAGAGTCAGTTAAACTTCAGGCATATCCATGTGTACAGGAAGCAAAAACCACTCTAACCATCGGTTTCATGAGCTTTGTGCAAATCAAAGTAACAACAGGTGCATTCGAGCAGCATGGGACAATATTATCAAGAAACCAACCACAGGAATGAAGCTTTTCCCAAAAATGTGATTCTGTTAATCTGGACGTAGTGTTTTCAGAAATGTTTCAACACACATCCAAGCGACTTCTTCGGTCACCTCACAAACAACGGACCTCACAGCCCATTGTTCATTCAGTGGGCTCATTTCAGTCATTATGCAAATGTGCTGTTTATAAGGTTGAGAAACCTGCAGTCAGCTGAGACTGAAGAAGGCTTAACTTAAAAAGCTTAATTTCTTTGCATGCATAAAGAAATTAAGCTTTCTAATCCAAACCTGGTAATTTTATGTGATCTGAAACGTAAACAGCTTAAATTAAACTGACAGCACAAAGTTTTTGTTGTATGGATTTCCAACTGTAGTGTCAGCTGCCACCTCCTTCCTCATACGCAGACTTTATCACCTGCAGACTGTGCAGACAATTAACTGCTTTAAGACTGAGGGTCAAAATCACCAGCACACCCAGTCTCTCTGTTATTTTGCAAAAACCCCATGGTATCATTGAGCCGCTGTGAGCAGGGTTTGAACCTGCGCAGGGAGACCCTATTGGATTTCAAGTCCAACGCCTTAACCACTCGGCCATCACAGCTGCAAAGTGTAGTGGAAAGTGTGCAGACTTACCATATACACTTAAGGAAAACTGGCACAAATGTTTAGTTTGAGAAGGATGATGGTCCTGTGCTATCTGGGAGATGGTGAAAAAGTTGCTGCTTATATATCATTATATACATATATGTGGGGATGTAACAGCGGTGCAGTCGTGACCACTGTTGCCTCACATGAAGAAGATTCACATGCGCTCCTTGTGTCTGTGTGGTTCTTCTCTTCAGGTGCTCTGGGTTCCTCCCACAGTCCAGACATGCTTGTTAGTTGAAATGGTGATTCTAAATTAGGTGTGAAAATCAGTGTGAATGCTTCTCTCTCTCTCTGTGTTAGTCCTGTGACGGACTGCTGACCTGTCCAGTGTGTACCTCACCTGTTGCCCCATGACAGCTGGGATAGGCTCCTGTGACCCTAATTTGGATAAGTGGAAGAAAACGGATGGATGGGTAGTAAATGAGCACTTTTCCCCGTTAACCTTTTTTTTTTTTCTTTGTCAATCTTATAATCTGTACTGCTGGTGGATATAATGATATTTCCGCTTTTAGTGGCTATTATCGCTCATGGTAACATATATCTACAATATCCCTCACACACATGCCATTTGGGGGAGTCTTCAGTAACTGCAGTTATTAATCGTTTCCAAAATGGTATAGCTATACCCCGTCAGCATGTGGAGTTTAATTCTTAAACCTTTGTGTTTTCTCTTCGTCTATATTCCATCATTGCCTCTTCATTACACACACACACACACACACACACACACACATACACACACACACACACACACCCACATATAATATATATATATATATATATATAGATATATATATATATATATATATATATATATATATATATATATATATATATATATATATATATATATATTCCGAATGACAGCAATATCAGGAAGAAGGAACACGAGAAGCTGGAGAAATACCAAGGGCTCAGAGAAGAGCTCGAGAGGATGTGGAGGGTGAAGGTAACGGTGGTCCCCGTGGTAATCGGAGCACTAGGTGCGGTGACTCCCAAGCTAGGCGAGTGGCTCCAGCAGATCCCGGGAATAACATCGGAGATCTCTGTCCAGAAGAGCGCAGTCCTGGGAACAGCTAAGATACTGCGCAGGACCCTCAAGCTCCCAGGCCTCTGGTAGAGGACCCGAGCTTGAAGGATAAACCGCCCGCAGGGGCGTGCTGGGTGTTTTTTATATATATATATATATATATATATATATGTATTATATATATATATATATATATATATGACTATATATATATATATATTATATATATATATATATGGCTCATTTTTTCTTTGATTCAGTTTTCCCTCCTGTGCTTTTGGGTCCACAACACACCGGCATCGGCCGTAACAAGTTGTTTTTGGGGCTTGGTACCCAATTTTGGAGAGTGGGGATGCCTGACAGGAGCTTGTGGTACTGAGGCAGGTTACTGGCAGATTCCAACATGGATTTTAAAATGCACAATCCTCTGTAAAGCTCTCACACCTTACTTTCTATATGCAGCCCTTTCCTCTCTACTCCATCTCCACTACAACTTCCACTTGTTTTGTTTTTGGAGTTTGGCTTCAGGAAAATAACCCACCATAATAGATCACCTGCTGATCCCTGTTGGTCCCCAAACCAGTGACCCCATTTATTCCCATTTATCTGATGCACAAGTACCATTTGAGAGTTTTTATTTTGTAGCATTTCTTGTTAGAATACATTCACATAAACACTGAAATATGAGCAGCAGCAGCAATTATACTGTTCATAAGCTATTAATGAATTCCTGTTAAACTATAACTATTATGGATCAACATTAAACTAGTCTGCAGTTTTATTACATGCCATTTTTCACTTTTAAGGCTTCCTGAAATGAAAAATTATTTTTTAAAAACCAATATTATGAGCTGAACATGGCTGCAAATTACAGAGAATCATATGAAATTAGTTGTGCTCCATGCAAATAAAAGTGGTGTCAATTTCACCATTAAACTGAGATATTTCTTTTGAGAACAAAGTAATATTAAAGAAGCTAGAGTCAGGTTAAATATGCAACTTTTCTGACTTCTTTGTGGGTAATTTTACTGCTTATTTTCCTAATTTTTACCCCAAGTGACTGCTGATTCTGGAGGGCACTGCAAAGCAAACTAAAAGTCATTAGAATAATGAAGAGTGCACACTAAACTATTGTGCATTAACCTTCCACCTTTCAGTTATATTAGGCGTGTGATGCCATTAAGTGGTGGGATGATATGAATGAGAGCCGTGAGATGGGATGTGAACGTAATGATGTGAGTCCTGTGCTTCTGAAGGCAGGTGGAGGCTGGAGGTGTTTTAATGACCTGCATCATCACAGCTAATGGGACCATTTATTTTCAGACAAAAAAAGAAGTTAATAACTGTTTTTCTTTGCGTCGTATCCACTGAGCTCTCGCGTCTTCCCACACTTGCTGCCATTTTCACGTTTTTCATCATCTTTCACTTGACATCCTCTGATATCGACACAAAAACACACCCTCGCTAGTCCAAAAAGCCCTTCATTAACTCACACCCATTTGTGAATGAAATAGTAGACTTTCCACTTGATTTAAATAGAGGTTATCCAAGTTGCAATGTGACAAACTGTCTGCTTAATCTACCTCTAAAGCTTTACATGAGCAGATCTACACGATGGTGTTGTGCAGCTTGAGCTTTGCAAAACAGGTGAGCAGATTTTAGAGAGCATGTGCATGTAGCAAAGAACAAATTAGTGAATA